GCTCTTGCCTAGTCAATCCAATGGGAAAATAACTGCAGTATGGGTAGGCCATTCATGCAGAAAATATCTATACTACAGACAATTGTGTAGCAATTTAGACATAAACCAACATATACTTCTAATCCCTACAGACCCAGTCCTTGCATATCCCTTCCCTTGATACCTGTCAAGCCTGTTGTATTTCACTGATAGGTTAAAATGGCTTAATAGCTGGCCTACCTGGCACGATTTAGGCTTTTTTTCTTTTTTGCTTTATTTGATCCAGCTGTGGAGTTTGCTACACTGAAACAACTCAACACATGCTTATGTAATGGCTCACTGATAATTATGCTTATTTTTAATAAACATAATTGAAATAAATTGAAATCAGTCAATTGATTGAAATAGAATGGAGGGTATAATCAAGTCACCAACAGATTTGAAAGATCATGTTGCTGTAGGTATTTCCATGGTGTTCTAAGTTGAACTGTAAAATTATTTCCCGTACAGATCTATTGGTCCTATATACCTGCTGCTTGCTGACATCATCAATAATTTAGCATTGCAGATATCCAAAATAATATATCATATTTTCTTCTTATTCATAACTATGCTTGCTTTCAGACTTACATCTATGTATTTTTCTTTTTCCCCAGGTAATGCATTTGTGGTGAGCCTGGCTTTGGCTGATCTGGTGGTGGCCTTGTACCCATACCCACTGGTGCTCTTAGCTATTTTCCATAATGGATGGACTCTGGGTGAAATGCACTGTAAAGTGAGTGGCTTTGTGATGGGACTAAGTGTAATAGGCTCTATTTTCAACATCACTGCAATTGCAATAAACCGATATTGCTACATATGTCATAGTTTTGCCTATGACAAAGTGTACAGCTGTTGGAACACAATGCTGTATGTCTCCTTAGTCTGGGTATTAACAGTAATTGCAACTGTGCCAAATTTTTTTGTTGGCTCTTTAAAGTACGATCCACGCATCTATTCATGCACATTTGTTCAGACTGCAAATTCCTACTATACAATAGCTGTTGTGGTAATTCACTTCATCGTCCCTATCACCATTGTGAGCTTCTGCTACCTTCGAATTTGGGTTTTAGTGCTTCAAGTTAGAAGACGAGTCAAGTCAGAAACAAAGCCAAGACTGAAGCCAAGTGACTTCAGAAACTTTCTTACCATGTTTGTGGTTTTTGTGATCTTTGCCTTTTGCTGGGCACCTCTAAACATTATTGGACTGGCTGTAGCCATCGATCCTATGGAAATGGCACCAAAAGTTCCTGAATGGTTATTCATTATAAGCTACTTCATGGCCTATTTCAACAGTTGCCTTAATGCAATAATATATGGACTTCTTAACCAGAATTTTCGGAATGAATACAAACGAATTTTAATGTCGATATGGATGCCAAGGCTTTTCTTCCAGGACACATCCAAAGGAGGAACTGATGGTCAGAAGAGCAAGCCTTCTCCTGCTTTAAACAACAATGACCAAATGAAAACTGATACCTTGTAAATGTGAATAGTCAATGCAAGTGTCTGTTATGGAGAACTCCAACAACATCATTGTGTTCTGGTCATTCTTGCTTACTTTTGGGGGCTTTCCATTTGGATGGCACTTTGTGACTGGAATACTGTCTTCTTGATAAAGCACATGGCTTTCAGTTCATGATTTATACAAGATATCAATTTAAAACACATTTCAGATTTAAAGCAGCAGGTGAGTGCAAGCTGGTTTTGTTCTGAGAGGTGAATTCTGCTTCCAGACATACGAATGAGGCATTTTTTTACTTCAGTGGGAGTTTTGCATTCTTTATACAAGGTCAGGATTCGTTTCTTAGACAACATAATGATGATATTTGTCTGTGGGCACAGCAGCTCATCAAGGCTGCAGAGTGATGTTTTCCTCCCTCCTGTATCTGAACAAAGAGGGTGAAGCAGATACTGTTTTCCACACATAAGCCAAACCACATTTCTGTGCATGTACTGGTGGCAGCAGTAGTATCTTTGAATCAAACTTGTAAATTGGAAAGAATAATGCTTGTGTAAAAGCAAATATTAACATTAGAGCCTTTCCTCACAGGTTTTTCATACTTACATACACTGAGATTAGGAATACAGTGTATTTACTCTGTTCATCTTTTGTGGTCAATTTTATGTAGAAAATACAAATGGTTGATTTCTTACACATTTGCTTTATGCAATATTCTTCCCTTAGAGAGGATTGAATTTTCATTGCACTCCATTTATTTACCTAAATATATACATCCAATGCCATTTGATGCACTTTAATACACCTTACACATTTGCAACAGGCTGGAACTTATGGTATATGACCTGTGATTGTCTGGAGTGACAACTGGACACCAGGTAGGATCCTAGATCATCTCAAATGGCACTAGACCAAAAGAAGCAGCCCTTTTGACTATAAAGGTAGCTGAGATACTTGCCTTATGTCTACATCTAATCTTGAACAAAATCCACTGTTGGTGTCTAATTTAAGCCAACCTTCAAGGTTCCCTGTAATGGAGATATGCTTCCTTCCATCTGCTATAAACACACATCCAAGGATGAGATTAATTGCTTTGTGGAGGTACTGGTCTCCTTTCATTGACTTTAGAAGGAGCTTTGATTACTACTTCAAACACCTCCCTTTGGATAGCTAGACTGGGATTTATCTTGCCTAATTTGGGATGTCTCCAGTGTAGGTGTTTGCACATGATTTATTTTCTAAATTCCCACTGTAGTCCATGGAGTTCTAGGAAATTATTAATTTTATCTTGAAACAGACATCTATTGGTCAAGGGAACTGATCAACAGAACTCACTGACTGTAGCTTCATTGACTATAATGGAGATCAGGCAGCTCACATAGACACATTCCAGGCAAAGACAGATGATCTCAATGCCATAATTAGCGCACCTACAGTTCATATTTGCACAGTTCATAAAATGAAAGGCTGGTTTTCAATTTCTTTTCAAACTCAGCTCAAATTCAAACTGGATTTCTTCTTTTTCAGGTAACATATTGTAACAGTGACTGTACAGATCAGATTACAATCTGGGTTATACCCCATAGCATCATAGTAATTTACACAATGTGGTTTACATTATCTCTAAATCAGATTAGGGATCTGTGTGCAAAGACACAGTCAGTGAAGTTATTTTATCATTAGACCTGAAATGCACATTACTCTTAGTAGCACTGCTCAAGGGAGAGGTAAATCCACGTCAGGTATTGAAACAGGAAAAGGAGGAATTCAGGTTGCTATTACATTCCAATTTGGGTTTCCTGACCTGGCTATTATGAAAAATATTTCTGTAGTAATGTTAATTTGTACAGCCAATATACTGCTCCTGAAGCCATAAAGACCTATTAAACATCACCCTTATCTTGCTACACTTAGAGAAAAACATCAAAGAACCACAGTACTTTAACAGTTTTATTTGCTTTCCAAAAGTCTAAGTACAGCACAGCAAAGTAACAAATATGATGATTCTTCTAGCTTCTTTCATGTTCTTCAGATAGTTTCTAATAATCTCTGAAGTTCAGTACCCTAGGACTCATAGAGTGGTAGCCTGATGAAAGCTGAAAACTTGGTGAATAAGGGTAAGAAAGAGATGGGACAAATTTAACCTGGAAGTAGATAATAAAAATACTGTAGCTAAAAGTAGCAATCATTAATATGTAGGTTCTACCTGGAACATAATTTTGTAAGTCTGACACAGTTTTGGTATGTATTGTCTTTCCTTATGAATTCCACACCAAGGTACTGAACACAGAACTAATATGGACGTATGTCTACATGTGAAACTTCCCCCAGATTAAATAAGGAGTTTCAAGAGTATGGGAAACTTGCAGGAAAGGACATCAAGTTTGTTTCATTGACAATCCTGCTTTTTCTTACTTCTATGAGTACTCCAAACTGTGACTTGAAAGTCAAAATTTGTTGCCTGACTTGTAGATGAACTAGTATTAGAAGTAAATTGATTGACTTTGGTTTATCACTTGCTGACACGAGTCAGAACAGAGTCCAGAATTTGGATCAAATTCCCATTGTTGTTTTAGCTCCATAAAACAAATTTAAACATTGTTACCACTTGCTTAGCCATAAAAGTGAGCAGCTATCATTCTGCATACTCATGGGAAGAAGATTTGAAATTTTTATGAAGTCATTTTACAAATCATCTCTGCACATTAAAAATTAAAGATCACTTTTAAGCATCCTTGTGCTAGTACCTCCTCAACTACCCTAAATGAAGCTCACACGAGTAATAGAGTAGAAACATAGAATCATAGAATGGTTTGGGTTGCAAGGGACCTTTAAGATCATCTAGTTGCAACCCTCTTGTCATGGGCAGGGACACCTTCCAATAGATCAGGTTGCTCAAAACCCCATCCAACCTGGCCTTGAACACTTCCAGGGATGGGACCCCCACAACTTCTCTAGGAAACCTGTTCCAGGGCCTCACCACCCTCACAGTAAAGAATTTCTTCCTAATATCTAATCTAAATCTACCTTCTTTCAGTTTAAAACCATTACCCCTCGTCCTATCACCACACTCCCTGATAAAGACTCCCTCCCCATCTTTCCTGTAGGCCCCCTTGAAGAACTGGAAGGCTGCTGTAAGGTCTCCTCGCAGCCTTCTCTTCTCCAGGCTGAACAACCCCAACTCTCTCAGCCTGTCCTCATAGGAGAGGTGCTCCAGCCCTCGGATCATTTTTGTGGCCCTCCTCTGGACCCACTCCAACAGGTCCATGTCCTTTCTTATGCTGGGGGCCCCAGAGCTGAATACAGTACTTGAACACAGTAATGCATTGTTCAAAGAATTGTTCCAAAATTTGATCCTTCCTCACAAATTATGGAAAATTTTTTGAACAGTGCTAAATTATTAGGTGTGGATTCTACCACCACAACTTTTCCTGAATGGGATCCTGCTCTGCATGGTGTCTGCAAAGCCAATGGATCTATTTAGTGTGCCAGCTACTCTTACTTACTGAGTCTGATGTACAACAATAACTCATGTCTGTCAAAGTGAGTTTTTATGCTGTGCATTATTACAAAGCATGGCACTTGAGTTGACCTGGAAATCAACCAAATTCATAGCATTTATATTAATTTAGATGACTAAATGCAGCTCTTGCATGGTGAAACCTCTTTATGTAGTGATATTTTATTTTTCCATATAGTAATGTATCCATCTGCCTACATCAAAAGCCTTAAATTAATTTTCTTCCTCTCTTATTACAACTCAAAATCCATTTTCCCTGAATTTACATTTGAAGAAAAAAATTGTAAGTGCAATTTAAAATGTAACTAACCATCAAGATAGGTGATATGGTTATAACGTGATTTAAAAGTATACTCAGGAAGAACATATCAGCTCTGTACAGATTTATGCACCTTTGAGGAAATTCTTATTTCTGTTATATAAAAGTATTTATACCAGCATGTAAGATATAGACACTTTAAGAAAAAGGAGGAAGAAAGTCAGGTAGAGCCTTTGTTCTGCACAAGGTAATTAGTGAAGGCAAGACAAGGGACTCAGGGACAAAATCTGTTTCCAGAAAATTTGGAGTGTTTTCAAGCATTTAATGTTATCTTGTTTAAAAAGTGTTGTGTTTTCTGTTTATTAAAAGAAATTAATGTATTCTAGAATTGTTCTTACAAAAAAAAAAGCTTACCCTTATGTGGATGGGTGAAGACCACTTGCAAATTCTATTTCAGTAAAGAGGGAAGTGGAGGTATGGTAAAGTCTAAATGAAACTGAAGCGATGCATTACCCTTATCCTGTTGCTCCATGCAAGTGAAAATTTCACTCTCAAGGAAGAATTAAAACTAAGGATTCAATCATATTACTGTTGACTTCAGTGAGATCAGGTTTTCACACCAAATTATTGGCCGAATAGAATAATTCTGTTTGGCTCATTCTCAGAGGCAGAAATGCACTTCTGTCTCTCCACTTCTCCCTTTAAGAACACATTTAGATAAAAGATGATTACTTCTATTTCCCAATTTTATTTTTAAATAACTGTACAAGTCTGGGAATTTCACAATGAATAAATATCTATGGAAGACTATATTTCTTAATAGGTATATAACATAATTTTGGTCATCTGAACAATTTCTTGCATTTAGAGACATTTACAGATTCAATGCAAAATGTGGAAGACAATTTATTTTCAGTTATCTATTGATATGTTGCTATTTTAACTGGATCTTTGCACACCTGGTCTATAATAATAGATCAATATTTTGCCTCAAGTTATAATGAGCATGCAAAGAGACCACTACGGACGTCCATTGTAGAACACATAACTGATTCCTGTTCATCCTCTTGTTAGTAACACCTGGAGCTGTAGTAAGAAAAAAAAAGGACTAAACCATTTTTTTAAATCTATATTTTTATAAATATTTTTGTGGCATAAATTTACTCTGGGGTAAGAACCACATTAAATGCATTGTCAAAAACCAGATACTCTGAATTTAACAACTGGAGTTGGAGCTGAAACCACAAAGAACGTGACCCACTGTGTCTCCCACTGGACCTGGTCACAGAGGTGGGACTGTCACGTTCACTAACAGTAGAGACACTTGTGTTCAGCCCTGAGGGCTTTAGTCCTTGGGGACAGCTGGGAAGGTCCTATGGAAT